CTAGCAAAAGCTATAGGGAACCACTGATATTTTACATGGTTAAGTAAACAAAGTTAGATTTCCATTTTAGAAGTACTCTGACAGCAATTCAAGAACGGTGTGTGTGACGGGTGTGACGACTGCATAGGTGGGAGGATGCCTAGTAAAGGGTATTAGCTGTGATTCATCTTGGCAAGGCCTTTTTTTTTTTTTTTTTAAAGATTTTATTTATTTATTTGACAGAGAGAGAGATCACAAGTAGGCAGAGAGGCAGGCAGAGAGAGAGGAGGATGCAGGCTCCACGCCAAGCAGAGAGCCCGATGCGGGCCTCGATCCCAGGACCCTGGGATCATGACCTGAGCCAAAGGCAGAGGCTTTAACCCACTGAGCCACCCAGGCGCCCGGCAAGGCCTAATAAAACACAGCAACAGTGGGAGAAATAGAGAACTTATTTCCTAGCTTTTATAAAGTAACAGCTTCAGGTCTTTGTGATTGAAGATCGTGTATGTGTGGAGGGGCATGGGAGGGTGGGAGGTGGAGAGTACGAGAAGCAGAGCTTCAAACAACTCTTTTCGTGCCGGGGAAAGCTGTGGAAAAGTCCTTAGAGTAATGGGATGGGGGCGAGAACCCGTGGAGGAAGCTCCCCCATATCCCAGCCCATTTTCCTATTAACTAGTCCTGTAATAATTAGGTGAACTTCAAGATGTCCTGTACAGGTGGGCATTCTACCCTGTGGTAACCAGCAGACTTCCCTAAGCCTGGATTTCAGTCCTCTTAAGAATTTCGGGAAAAGCTAATAAATAATAGCCCGTTGGCCTATCGGATGAGAATCACTGGACGGAAATCTCCGGCTATGAAGAGAGGTCGCCAAGTGGAAAGGAGGCACCTTGCAGATAACCACGAATCCCAGTCAAGATATTAATTATTGATGACCAAGGATGGGGTATTGACTGTTTTTTGAAATTGTGCGCCGCTGAGCAGAATTTTAAAGCCACTAGACCGAACGTGTGACGAATGAGCTGTTCGGTGAATCATTTCTTCTCTTTGTAAAAGAGGGCACACAGGAGACCGGCAGCCAAGCTAAAGGAGGAAAAGCTAGAGGGGCAAGAGACTGCATCAGCGTCTTCTCCCAACCAGCATCAGCTGAAAGGGAGCCCAGCGCGCTAAAAGCTGAGAGCTAGATATCTCCTTTGCCCTTCCGTGCGCGGCCCGCGCCTGCCACTCGCTTCCAGACTCAGCGCCTGCGCAGCACGAGGGGGGAAGCTGTGGAGAAGCCAGGAAACTTCCACGACTACCTTACCAGGCCCCGCCCCTTCCTCAGAATCGAGAGGGAAGAGCGTCGCGCGTGCTCAGACCTCTAAAGCCCCGCCCCCAACTCTGGCCTGAGGTTCGCGCCCGCCGGTTCGCCCCTCCCTACATACCTCAGCTCCAGACCTTTCGGAGGCGCGACCGACGCGCCACGCAGGAGGCACGAGCACGAGCGCGTGCGTACGTAAGCGCGCGCCGAGCCCAGCGCGAAGAGGCCCCGCCTTCCCGTCCCGCCCCCTCCGGCCTCTCCTCCGGCTCCGCTCAGGGAGGTGAGGATCCTGGCACCCGCGCGCACTCGGTGATATGGAGGTCCCTGGGAGCCTGTGCAAGAAAGTCAAGCTGAGCAATAATGCGCAGAACTGGGTGAGTCGGGGCAGTGGAGCGAAGGAGGCTCTGGGAGGCTGTGGCTGCAGCTCGTTCCGGAGCAGCTGCTTTCCTCCCGCCCCCTCTGCATCCTCTGTGGACTCGGGGATGGTACCCGAGGCCGCGGCGCCTCCCAGCCGGAGCGGTGGGGGTACCAGACGGGCTGGCGCGGCGGGGGTCTCCGGCTGGGCGCGGTGTGCGGTCCGACCCACCTTCTGGGGGCGAAGAATGCCCTCTTCCCCAGCACCTCGGCTCAGAAGAGACCTGGAAGATAATCTTTTGAGAGTGAGCTGTCGGCTGCTGAAGCGTAAACCCCCGACGGGGGATGCTGCCCACATCTTGAAGTGGCCTGAAGGTCTGCAGAGGAGGCGGAGGCGGGCGCGTTTGGTGCGTTCTGGTTTTTCTTGGCTCTGCCGGTTCACTTAGCCCAGGTTTGGATCCATCTCCACGTCTTTCCATTTCTGAGTTTCAGTGTGAAGGGAGAGTACCCAACAATGTGGCCATTCATGAGTTGAGACTGCTCTGAACTGAGGTTCTTTGTGGCTCGGTATTAAATTGGAATGTCTAACAAATAACATGATGGAGTTTTAAGGACTCGATTTCTGGAGACAGTAAGGTATGGGAAGACTAATGGTTTATAACGTTTAGCAAGAACTGCCGGTTGGATTTGATGGTCTAGTGCTGTGCCCTCAGAAGATTGCTTCCTTCCTTAATTCTCTGATGATCAACAGCCTTAAGATTTTGTAAGTATAGAGCAGATTGTAGTGGGGGAGGGGGAGGCAGTGTCCAACTTTTGAGTCAGGAAAGGAAATGGTTTTCAATTTAGATGGGTTTTTATTTCACAGTACAGTACCATCACGAGGTTTAATTTTAAATGCAGCCTTGCAGATCATCATTACCCTTGATGAGTCAAAGAAAAAAAAAAGCGATTTCAGGCAAATACTCGTTTGAAGTCGTGAATTTACCATATCTTTTCTTACCAAGGATTCTCATCGGATTCCTTTCTCCTTTTAACCTTAACATGATAAGCAGGGAAAGGAGATAAAGGTGAATTACAACACTGGAATGAGCATTGGGCTACTGGCGTGGTTTTTGGTCCCAGCTTTGTCATTTGGTAGCTAAGTGCTCTAAGGGAAAACCGTCTATCTCTTTGAACCTCAGCTGACTTAACAAGGATGTAATAGTGTGCATTTCACTGGGCTGTTTTGAGGAGTAAACAAAATAATAAATTTGAAGTTTCGATGAAATCACTACCATGTAATTTAGTATTGCTCCTGTCCCTTGAAGTATTTCCTAGTTAGGGAAATAAGGTTGGCTAAATTAAGGTATTTACAGATAATTTCAGTTACACCATCCATTACTTATCAACTTTTGCTGAATAGGTGTGTGTTCTTTGTAGAGTCCTGTGCTGCTCATGGAGAAGATGAAATATGAGGGACTCCATGCTTACCTTCCAGTTGCTCATGGCCTGGTTGGGCTTGTAAGTGGCATTTGCCAGGTGATGAATATATCAGACCACAGTGAGTGGAGTAAGACATGTTTTATCGCAATTTAGAGCAGAGATTAGTTTATCCTGGGTGTTTGGGGAAGGTTTATGGAGGTGAAATGTACTCAGATTTGTGAGTCAGAGGGGCACTGAATAAATAAGGGCTAGGAATAAGAATTAATATTATTTTTACTCCAGGAACAATGAAGAAACCTGTTTACTCTGGGGAATTTTTTTAAAAAATACTTTTATTTGGGGTGCCTGCATGGCGTGGTGGGTTAAGGCCTCTGCCTTCGGCTCATGGTCCCGGGGTCCTGGAATTGAGCCCCGCATCAGACTCTCTGCTCAGCGGGGAGCGTGCTTCCCCCCCTCTCTGCCTGCCTCTCTGCCTACTTGTGATCTCTGTCAGATAAATAAATAAAATCCTTTAAAAAAATAAAAAATATATTTATTTATTTGAGAGAGGGGCAGAGGTCTAGGGAGAGTGAGTTGGGGGAGGGGCAGAGGGAGAGAATCTTTAAGCAGACTTCCTCCTGAGTATGTCACCCATCTTGGGGCTTCCTTTCCTGACCCTGAGATCATGACCTTGGCCTAAACCAATAGCTGAACAATTAACTGACTGAGTCACCCAGTCGTCCCAACTCTGGAGAATTTTTATTGAAGAGTGGAGTGACGTTTGAATGGGTAAGGTGGGGCTTTGCTGAGTTAAGACTTGATTCTGTGGGAAGTTTTTAAGGAGGCTAGAATTTTTAATTTTATGGGCCTTAGAAGTCTTTTTTTGCCCCAATAGAGAACATCCCTCATATTTCCCTTTCACATACTTAAGTCAGCTGATAGACACTAGTGTAAAGAACACATCCATACAGTTTTAAGTTTCCATCACATGATGAAATTGGATTTCTAGGAAGCCTGGGCTACTGAGGAAATTAAATACTGCTAGAGCCCAGATGTGGAAGTCCTGTAGAACAGACAGGGTTATAGTTAGGTTTTAATGAGATTTGAAGTTTTAATAGATTTGAAGCATGCCTAGTGCATGAGCACTGTTTTAAGTTTTCCTTGGTATGAATTCGAGTGTGAGGGTACAAAGAGCTAGGCTAAGGTGGTGGTGGGAATAGTGGAATAGGTGCGTTAAAAACACTCAAAGAAGGTTAAGAAGGAGCTAACTAGAATTAGGGGATGAAAGAGGGAGGCTGGTTAAAAGTTGATCCTGAGGTTTTAGTCCTGGGAAATGGGGAGAAGGGTGGTGACATGCTGGGAAATGGGAAGGAAAATTGGGGGCTGGCGTAATGGTGATAATAGTTAAACACTGAAGGAGAGTTTACTGTGTACCTGGTACTGCCTGAAATGTTTTACCTAAATTAACTTACTGAGTTTTTGCAGCATTTCTGAAGTGGGTGTCATGAGAGATGGTCCTTTAAAGCTGTCTGGGCTCAGATCTGGGCTCCACTATTTACTAATCATGTGATCTTTGGCTAGTCTCTTAATTTCTCTGTATCTGTATCTGTATCTTTATCTCTATTACATGGAAATGCTAGTCTTACTGGGGTGTTGTGAAGATTGAAAGGCGCTAATATAAGAAAAACGCTTAGAACAGTGTCTGGCATACAGTAAGTATTATGTCTGGTTCTTATTTATTTATTTTTTTACAGTTACCCTCTTCATTACAAGTAGTATTTCTACATTACAGATGAAGAAACTGAGGCACAGAGAGGTCATAGAGTTTGTTAGTGGTGGATCCAGTTTTCAGCTTGCTGAGTGTGAGGAACAGCTTTAGTAGATATGCTTTCCAGTAGAAATATAATGTGAGCCACATATATAGTTTAAAATTTTAGAGGGCCCATTACAGAAAGTAAAAAGAAACAGGTTGAAATAAATGTTAATAATGTATTTTATTTACCCCAACATATCTAAAACAGTCATTTCAATATAAATGTAACTTCAATACTACCATTATCAATATAAAATTACTAAGATATTTCACTTAAATGTATATTTTACATGTACACATCTCAGTTCTGACCAGCCTCTTTTCAGATACTCAGTAGCAACATGTGGACAACACAACGGTAGGGACTGAATTGGGTTAAGGTTGGAAATAAAGATTTAATGGTTAAATTTGAGTTAGAGAATACAGAGAAAAAGAGAGTAAGTCCTAAGCTTTGCGTAGTATCTCCTGTGAAAGAGCAGGTAAAAGAAGTGGATTCATGAGAGATAGGCAAAGACATGGGAAAATGTCATGTTGCAGGATTGGGAATGTTTATTAGTATTACAGGAAGGTGTCTCCATACGTCTACAAGAATGGGAAAGAGAAATCAGGAGTGAACTTGCTCCATTACCTTCCTCTTAGCTCAGTCCAACAAAGCACTGGATGTAATGAATATCATTCTCCATCTGATAGAGCCTTTCTCCAATGGGATCAGCTTTTATCTGCCCTTGGGAGGAGTGTGTTAGCTGGGCTGAGGGAAATGTGGGGCACTCAGTTCAGGCCCAAGTTTATTTACCCATTTGGTAAAATCATGTTGGCTTGAATTACTTGCTTAAACCTGCCTCATGGTGGAGTTGGAGCCTAGTGCCCACAGAGTGATCTGATATTCAGAAGCACATATAGTCTCACTGTGGTTTGGCTTTCCATTCCCCTCTCTCCCACCACTCCCAAATTTTCCATAGCTCCCTATCTCCAGCCTCAACATCCCTTCCATACCTTCCATCCTCATGGTTTTACACAAGCCCTTTCCTTCTGCCTGAGATGCCTGTTAGTCTTTATTACTTACTAAAATCTTCAGAGCTGTGGGCTACTTTACCATATGTCATGGCTCTTCTGTGTGCACACACTCTTGTATGTTGCTGAATTGTTTGCACCCCTGTATTATGTTGCATGCTGCTATTACCATGGATTATGTAGTGAGATTTCATTACAGATGTGCTGTGTCTACACTTTGCTCATACAGCAGGATGGGGATAAGGAGTATTGTATAGAGTAAGCTTTGGTGCCTCAGATATGAAAAGCCTGTACAACATTAATATCTCTGCATAGCTTAAGTTAGAGAATGAACTCCATAACATGGTAGGGCTCAAATTACAGTTCTGTCATTAACCACCTGTGTGATCATGGGCACGTTACCTAATGCCTCTGAGCCTCCTTCTCCTCAAAGGTAAAAATGTGGATAATAAAACAGAGCTTATAGTGGGGATAATAGTACATCCCTTCTAGCGTTGCCATAAGGTTTAAATAAGTCAGTGTATTTGAAGCACGGTGGTGGTACCTGGCACATGAGCAGTATTTAAGGTATTCTTGTTATTATTTATTTATCAAATATTTAATATCATGTTTGTGCAAGCCTTCATTCTAGGTGCTGGGGACACAGTGGTAAAAAAATCCTACCCACTCTCATGGATGTTGCATTTTCTGTAGCAGGGAGTTAATTAAAAGGTAAACAAATGAATAAGATAATTTTTCCTTTTACCGGTTCTACCTTTTCGAGCCATTTGTTCCTTATAGTGCTATATGCCTTTCCTAGAAGGGCAGTAGCCCGTTCTAGATTTTGGGGAAGACCGAGGTGGAACAAAAAGAAATGAGCCTGCAGATATGGAACACACAGCTGATGAAAAGCTGGGAAGAGGCCAGTATATTCATTCTTCAAAACATTGGTCTGACTGTGGTCAGGCATAGGTATTCATCTTCCTTCTGGAAGCCAGGGAGATGCTGCTGGAAAAATTGCATAAAGAAGAGGGAAACTCAACCTCTACTGAAATGGACTCTTTATGTTGATTAACACCAATAACAAGAATGATAGCAAGGTCTGGATCTGTGTTGTCTGATCTGATAGTTGCTAGCCACATGTGGCAACTTAAATTTAGTTAAAATTCAGTGAAATAAAGAATTCTCCTCCTTCATTGCATTCGCCCCATTTCACATGCCACATTGCCATGTGGATCTAATGACCAGTGTTTTGGGCAATGCAGTGTAGGACATTTTCATGGTTTCAGAAGGTTGGACAGGGCAGGTCTAGATAATGACCTATCTAGACCTGGGATGGCTGCCAACACTTTTTTCTACTCTCTAAGTATTTATGTATTCATTTTTACTTTTAGGGGAAGGAAATATCAAGCTAGTGGCTTCTTTGGAATCCTGCTTCTGGGCGATTCTGCAGCCCTGACTTCTGGTAGGGTACTGCAGTGTTCGCCTTCCCTTAGCAGATCTGTGGCTCTCAGTGTGAATTATGAAATGAGCTTTGCCTGGGTCTGTTACATTGACTTTTGAGGGGTAGTTCTCTACTTCAACGGTTCTCAACCAGGTAAAATTCTGCCACTCCTAAAGAAGTTTTTGGTGATGTCTGGAGACAGTTTTGTTTGTTATGTGTGTGCATACGCACACACTGTGGGGCTTCTGGCATCTGTTGGATAGAGGCCAGGGAAGCTGCTAGACATCCCACGGAACACAGAATAGTGCCCACAACAGATAATTACCTGGTTCTAAAAGTCATTAATGCTGAAATTGAGAAACACTATTTTATTCTTGGCTTTGAGTAAGAAGAAGAGAAAAAACTACCCAACTGAAATGCAAACTTAGTAATTTAAAGTAAAATCTAGTTGATAATACCATTTCCTCATCCATCAGCATTGAAGTGACCATCTTTTGTTCTGAGACAGATCAATAATTTATAGCGTACTAATGACACAATAGTCAAACTCCAACCCCGAATCGTTTTGAAAGCAAGTTCCTAAGTAATTTAAGTGAAGAGAATAACTTTTCCTTTTGGTATTTACCTAAGTGGTAGTTATTTCTGTGAAATATCGTTTAAAGATCTAGTTCTTTACCAAGTGAGTTTTAACTGAAAAAAAATGCCAGGAACTTCATTTGATTCCAGAGGTCTAGGGTGGAGCCTGAGATTCACTTCCTGACCGGAAACATCCTTCCAGTGAATGTGAATATTAGACATTTATAGAAGTCCAGTTTTTAATTTTTAGGTGAATGTAGCCATTATTCTGTCTCTTCCCTCTAGTTTCTTTGATGCTTGCATCTCTTACCTCAGTCTCTCATATGTTTGTACAGTTCATTGTTTTTTCACTATATTCATGGAGTTGTATCACCATCACCAATATCCAATTTTAGAACATTTTCATTGCCTCCAGAAGAAATCCCGTACCCATGAGCATTCATTCCCCTTCCTACCCCTTCGTCCTCTGTAGCTCCTGACAACCAGTAATCTACTTTCTGTCTCTGGATTTCCCTATTCCAAACTTTCCTATAAATGGAATCATACAACCTATGGCCTACTGTGTCTGGCTTCTTTAACTTAGCATAATGTTTTCAAGGTTCATCCATGCTGTAGTGTGTTACCAAACTCCATTCCTTCCGATGTTTGGATAATATTCCATTTTATGGATATATACCATTTTGTTTAACTGTTCATCATTTGATGGACATTTGAGTTGTTTCTCTTCTTTGGCTATTATGGCTAATGTTGCTGTGAACATTCATTTACACGTTTTTGTGTGTACTCTCCTATGGCTTTAGTAGTTAATTTCAACTTCTGAGGGAGATGTTAGTGTATTTTTGTCTGCCCAGCTTCTGAGCTCCTTCTTATGTGTAGTTACCCTGGTGGGAGGCGCAGGGGTCTGTCATGGTGTAATGATTTCTTTACGTGTTTATAGTTTGTCTCCTCCTCTGAAATGTTTTTATTTTATTTTATTTTATTTATTTTATTTTATGCCCAGTATCTAGAAGGGATCAATCACCAAATAATCTTGGATTCATTTCTGTCTTGTAGGAATCTCTTACAGCTGGGCTTTCCACCTGGAGGTCATCCAGGGGCCCTTCCATTAAAGGTATTGACATTATAAAATCCCCGTTAAATATTTAAATGTTACTTAATCTTTAAAACAGACCTGTTGGAGAGCTGTCATGTATATACAGAGCACGTGCATGATAGTTGACGGCAATCAGGTAAGCCTACCAGGAACTTCGTTTGATTCCAGAGGTCTGGGGTGGAGCCTGAGATTCACTTCCTGACCGGAAACATCCTTCCAGTGTCTGCTGTGTGACCTGTTTTGCCATAGCAAGGTTTTAAGCGTAGCATTTTCAAATTTCCTCAGTCTCCAGTAATGTATAATCTTCACTTTTGCTGTTTGTCTTTGGCTTGTTAATGTTCAGAAGATTAACTTCAGTTGTCAGTAACTGCACGATAAGATCGGTAACTCTGTGAAGTAAAGGCTTCTCCTTGTGTGTACTCTACCATCTCTCCAGTTTATTCACGCCATACTCTGCCATCTCTCCATAGTACGTCTTGAGACATAAAAGAAACATGCCTGTTATCATTTCAGAGATTCTCTTTGGGGACCACACTGTTTAGCAGTCAGTTTAAGAGGGGTGGTGGGGTGGCTGATGGATGTGGAGTCCAGAATTATGCTTGATATTTGGCATATGCTCTGTGCTTTTACAGATTTCACTTAAAAAGGCAGTTTTTCATCAGATCATAGTAAACTGACAAGGCATACAGTTCTTGAAATGACATCATAGGAGAAGTTAATTTCTCCCATAGGGAAGTGGATAAAATAATAAAACCGCCCATGTGGAAATTAAGGTGGGTCAGAAAAGGTACCCAGGGCCACTTGTGTGCGTCATGGCAGACATTTGTAGAATGTGTAGAAAATGTGCTCCACAAATATCAGAGGCCTTGTGATGTTAGCCTAGAAATGGGACCAATGGTTGTTTAGCCCCAAGTGGAGAAAGTGAGTAAATTCTCTTGAAATGAATTAGCCCACTTCTGCTAGACTAAAGATTTCTGAATGTCAGTCAGCATTTCATTTGTAAGTTATGCAGAGAAAACAAATCATGCTTTAAAATAAATGCCTCAGATCTAACTAGCACTGACTAGGCACACGGAAATAGGTTGGGCACTGGGGAAAATAGAACTGTTAACTCATGTGCTTGACCTACGCTCCCAAGAAAGTCCAACTATATACACATAGAAAGGCAGCTGAAAGTATAAAACAGTCCCTAAAGAACAAATCATATGGGCAGTAAGTATTGCAGGGACTGCTGAGTGTATATACCAAGCCACATAAATGTTTCTACAAACCTCGCATCCTCTTAAAGAAATTTGTAAGCCTGATTTCTCCGTCTTGTGGAGAGAAGCTAGGCCACTGAAGACAGAGAGTAGGAATATAGAATCACTCACTTGGCCTTAGTGACTTACTGATGTCTTTTCTTCTGGTGGAATTCTAGGAAGGATTTGGCTAGCATGGGTGGAAAAGAAGGGAAGGGGGATTAAAAGAATTTTTCTGTTGGAAGTGGCCTTTAGATTCTTGGTAAAATTCAGGCATAATGCCACCACCTTGCCATTCCAGTAATTTTTTAAAAAATGCACTTTGGTTTACTCAGAGAAACTGGGAGGTGGGAGATTGTGACAAATCTTTTTTAAGAGTGTTTTTTAATATGAAAAATCTCAAGCACACATTAACATTAAGCCTCCTTAGACTGCCATATCTGCTGCCAGAAGTTTTTTAAAGGTTGGAGCAAGGAACCCTGAGGTAGCATTCTTTTCTCATGGTTAAAATAGACAGCCTCTGCTTATCTTGTATTTTCTCCAGATCACATCCTCCGTTGTTTATAGCTTCTCAGGTAACTTTGACATTCTACTCAATTTAAAAAGAAAAACAAGAGATATTTTACAGGGCCAGAATGAATTAAAATTCATCCGGTACATGTTTCTTCTTGCCCTAAAGCAGAATAACTTGGAATAAACCCCAAAGCAAAATGACCTCAGTCAAACAGGTTCTGCCAGTGTAGGCAGCTAACTCACCAAGTACCCTCCTGAAACCACCCCCTCAACCCCCTCCCTCAGACTCTGCTCCCTTCTCCCCAGGCAGCTGGGCTGGGAGCTGAACCTAGTGACTGATGGGAAGAGGTGTCACTGATTCCCAAGAGACGAAGACTTCCGTGTGTGGAACCTTGTTTTTGTTTAAGATCTTGGAAATGTCGAGCTGGAAAATAATGTTTGCTTCATTAGTTCATTGAAAAGAAATAGGTAGGGAGATCCATATTATAATTTTTCAAAAGTGATTATTGTACATGTAGAGCATAATTTTATTGGAAATGCGTTTGTTCATGAGATGATTAGTTGGGGAGGGGTGCAGTTTTTGTGGTGTGCCTGTTAAAAGAATTGTCAGATTGTCCCTTTGGCCACAAAAGGTTTTCTGCAATGAGTGATAGTAGGACTGAGAAAGGTAGAGATGCTTTGTCTTGTACACTGGAGGATCGTGGAGGGGGAGGTGGGAAAAGAGATCCGGCACCTCAGGGAGAGACCGTTTTTAGAAAGGACTACCATCCAAAAGTTGATCTGGACAGAAATATATTCCTTTACAAATTCATACTTTTAAAACAGCCCCTCCCTACCGCCCCCACCCACAAAAAACCACGGTTCCTGCTTCTATAGTTGCAAGGCTGTTTATTCCCTGTTTTGAAGACCCCCTCTCTCCCCTGCCTCCGGCCAAACTACAGCTCAGGTTGGATCCACCCAGGTTGTTTTTCCTTCCTTCTGTGTCCCTGAAGTTGCTGCGGAACACTGGACCTGGTGACTGGTGTTGCTTTGAATTGATGATTGTTGGCTTCACGTGAGTCATTTGGACTGCACGGCCACCGTCCTAGACTTCCCTGGTCCCTTGTGCTCACTCTGCGCTCTGTCTGGAGGCGCTAACCCCAGAAGTCATCACAAGTCTTAAGTGTCCTCGTTTTGCTGAAGCCTTGGCTGGCCACCCTGTCTGAATGTCGCTTCTCTGAAATTTCTTCACAATTTTGCTTTGTTTACTTTTTTCTTTTCAATATTTGTTCCTGCCTAACTTATATAATTTATTTATTTATCCTTGGCCCCTTCCATTAGTCCAAGGCTTTCAAACTCGAGCTTGCATCCTACTCGATTGGAGGTCTTTAAAATACAGATTGTTGGGCCCTACCCCAAAGTTTCGGCGGATTCCCTTGGCCTTGCGGCAGGACCTGACATTTTTTTCTTTAAAAAAAAAAAAAAAAATTTTTTTTATTTATTTGACAGACAGAGATCACAAGTAGGCAGAGAGGCAGGCAGAGAGAGAGAGAGGAAGAAGCAGGCCCCCTGCTGAGCAGAGAGTCCGATGCTGGGCTCCATCCCAGGACCCTGGGATCATGACCTGAGCCAAAGGCAGAGGCTTTAATCCACTGAGCCACCCAGGCATCCCAGGACCTGACATTTCTAATAGTTCACAGGAGAAGCTGCTCCCTCAGGGGCTGCATCTTGAGAATCACTGCACTAGAGACTAGATAAGTGAGGACTAGATAAGTCCCATGAGGACAGTGATTTTTATTGGTACTGTTTACTATTGTTTCATCAGCACCTAGAAGAATGTCAGGCATGTGGTATGCATTCAGTAAATAGTTGAATGAGTGTTGAATAAAACTGTCTGGAAAAGTAAGAGCTTTAAGCAGTATCAAATACAAACACCCTATCAAAAAATGCTGTCACATATCTATTTTATAAATACATGCTTCTAACTACTGGGTATTTACCCTAAAGATACAAATGTAGTGATCAGAAGGGGCACATGTACCCGAATGTTTATAGCAGCAATGTCCATAATAGCCAAACTATGGAAAGAACCTAGATGTCCATCAACAGATGAATGGATGAAAAAGATGTGGTGTGTATGTATGTATACACACACACACACACACACACACACACACACATAATGGAATACTATGCAGCCATCAAAAGAAATGAAATCTTGCCATTTGCCATGATGTGGTTGGAACTAGAGGCTATTACACGGAGCAAAATAAGTCAATCAGAGAAAGAAAAGGGTAGGGAGGGTAAAAATGAAACAAGATGAGACCGGAAGGGAGACAAACAATAAGAGACTCTTAATCTCAGGAAACAAACTGAGGGTTGCTGGAGGGGAGATGGGTGGGAGGGATGGGGTAGCTGGGTGATGGACATTGGGGAGGGTATGTGCAATGGGGAGTGCTGTGACTTGTGTAAGACTGACGAATCACAGACCTGTACCTCTGAAACAAATAATGCATTTATGTTAATAATAATAAAAGACAAGACATAATAATAATAATAAAAGACAAGCTGCTAAAAAGAACCTAAATTAGGGGCGCCTGGGTGTCTCAGTCAGGCGTTGGACTCTTGATTTCGGCTCAGGTCATAATCTCGTGGTTGTGGGATGGAGCCCTGCCTGGGGCTTGGTGCTCAGTTGGGAGTCTGCTTGAGATTCTCTCTCCCTTTGTCCCTCCCCGCCATGTGCATGTGCGCACATTCTCTCAATCAATCAATCAATCAATCAATCAATAACAAAAGAAGAAGAAGAACCTAAATTATGTTTTTGCTCCATAGGAAGAGAAATAGAGACTCTGTAATTCTTTTTTTTTCTGTTTGTTTTGGGTAGAAAACAGCCTTATTGAGATATAATTTGAGATATCATAATATTGAGATATCATTCAATTCATCTGCTTAAAGTGTGCAGTTAAATGATTTTTAGTATATTTATAGAGTTGTGCAACTGTCATCACAGACGATTTTAGAGCATTTTTATCACCCCCAAAAAGATCCTGTACCCATTAGCAGTTACTCCCCCGGGCTTCCCCCTCCCCCCATCTCCCAGCCCGAGACAATCACTCAATCACTAATCTACTTTCTGTCTCTATAGATTTTCCTGTTTTGGACATTTCAGATAAATAGAATTATACCATATGTGATCTTTGTGACTGGCTCCTTTCAGTTAGCTTAATGTTTTTGAGGTTTACCCAAATTGTTACGTGTTTGAGTACTTTATTCCTTTTTACTGCCAGGTAACATTCCATTGAATGGATACATAAATTTTCAAATAGTTTATCTAATTTTCAGTCAGTGGACAATTGGGTTTTTCCACTTTCTGGCTTTTATGAATAATGCTACTATGAACTTAGGTATATATGTTTTGCATGGATATGTTTTCCTTTCTTGTGAGTATACATCTATGAGTTTAATTATTTGGTCATATAGTAACTATATTTTAACATTCTATAAAAGTGCTATTTTCCAAAGTGGCTCTACTGTTTTACATTTTCACCAGTAAATGTCTGAGGATTCTAAATTCTCAGTAGAGTCTCACCAGCACTTTAGTTACTGTCTTTTTGATTATAGCCATTCTAGTGGGTTATAGAGGTGTCTGTCTCCTTGTGGTTTTGATTTGATGTGCATTTTTGTGATGGCTAATGATACTGATTTTTTTTTTTTTTTTTTTTTTTTTTTTTTTGAGAAAGAGAGTGTGGGGCAGAGAATAGAGAATCTCAAGCAGGCTCCATGCCCAGTGTGGAGCCCGATATGGGGCTCAGTCTCACAGCCCTGGGATCATGACCTGAGCTGAAATCAAGAGTCATATTCTCAACTGACTGAGCCACCCAAGCATCCCTGAACAACTTTTAAACTGCTTGTTTTGTCATTTGTATTTTTTCTTTGGAGAAATGGCTATTCAGATTCTTTGAGGCCTGTGTAAATTTATGCTATTTTTGTTTAAGAAGAAAATATTGGAAGAAAAATTGCATTCCACCTTTTTTGTGGAATAACCACAAATAAGCAGTGTGTCTACTTTTTCCATCATGCATTTCATCTTACCCACAGACCTTCCACGCTTCGTTCAGGAGTCTCCTTAGATGCTTCCTTCTCAGCTGCGTCTGTTCGTCCTTCTGTGTAAAGAGGCACCCATCCCTGATCCCTCTTTCCAGTCTTACCCTGTTTTATTTTCTGAACGCACTTGTCACTCTGATATTACAATAAATTGCTCTGCTTTGTCTCCTGCAGTGAAATGCAAGCTCAGTGAGGGTAGGGACCCTGTTGAGTTCACTTGGTATACTGATAGGGCCTCAGTAAATATTGGCTAAATGAATGACTGAGTGGAAGACTGGGCTCTGGAGTCCACCACTCCCTTGTTCTGGGAACTTGGGCAACCCGTTTAACTTTTCTCAGGTTTAACATCTTCATTTGTAAAGCCACGGTAGTAAGAGTTTTTGTGTTCCTCCGTGGTTCTAGGGTTAATTTCACTGGTGTCTGTAACGCACCAAAGGCCATGCTAGGTACTATAAAGAAAAGAAAGCTGTTTTAATCTTTCTCCTTGCTTTTGGCATGTTATATAGAATAGTGACAGCAAAGAATATGTGTTTACTTTTTAAAGGACTCAGGTGAATCTGAATTTTGTTTCTTTTTTCCAGGGGATGCAGAGAGCAACTAATGTCACCTATCAAGCTCATCATGTCAGCAGGAACAAGAGAGGTCAGGTCGTGGGGACCAGAGGTGGTTTTCGTGGTTGCACAGTTTGGCTAACAGGTACAGTCAAGAGAGATAAACCAGCTAATTTCAAAAGCAGTGTTTATAGGGGCGCCCAGGTGGCGTCAGTCAGTTAAGTGTCTGCCTTCGGCTTAGTTCAGGATCTCAGGGTCCTGGGATTGAGCCCCACATTGGGCTCCCTGCTCAGCAGGAGCTGCTTCTCCTTTACCCTGCTGCTCTCCCTGCTTGTACTCTCTTTCTCTGTCAAATAAATAAATAAAATCTTAAAAAAAAAAGTGATGTTTATAGACAGCCTTGAACTGGGATGAAGCATATTTATTTAGATTTTGAGCTGTCCTTGTATCTGGAACATCACCATATGTAACTAACAACGTTGCTGGATTATAACATTTTAATAATTCCCTTTGTTCTTTATGTAATTGTTGAAAAAAAGGGGAAAACCAGAATGCATTTTAAAATTACATTCTAGGGGACACCTGGGTGGTGCAGTTGGTTAAGTGTCTAATTCTTGGTTTCTTCTCAGGTCATGATCTCAGTATCACAAGATTGAGCGCTGCATAGAGCTCCACGCTCAGTGTGGAGTCTGCTTCAGCCTCTCTTCCTCTCCCTCTGCACCTCCTCTTTCTTGTGTGCTCATGCATGTGCTCTCTCTCTTGCTCTAAAATAAATAAATCTTTTTTTTAATGCACACAGAATTACTTTCTAGTTGATAACTACATTACATTCTATAAGCTTTTTGTATGCAAACAAGACCTAGATTCTGCCTTCAAGAAGCTGATGATGTAAACCATATGAAGAGGAACAATGAGTGATAAAGAATTTCTCATCCGTTTCTGTCATTTACCTTTTGGTTTGGCCTCTGATTGATTCTCGCATTGGTCTCAGATTGTTTCTCGCACTGGTTCTCCCAGAGTCTACCTTTAGGCCCACCTGCTGAGAGGGTTAATTGATCTAGATTTTGGCACTTCTAGAATCATATTTAAAATTTTGATGCATGTTGCCAAATAAACCACCAAAATTTTATATCTGTTTACTCTCCTACCAACAGTGTGGGAGGAGTTCCATTTCCTAGTGTCTTCATCAACTTGGATATTACCAATACTTAAAATATTTTCTGATTGGTGAAAAGCAACGTTCTTGTTTTGTGTGTGTGTGTGTGTGTGTGTGTGTGTGTGTGTGTGTGTGTGTTTAATTACATGCTTCAATTGTAGACAAGTCCGTTTCTATGTGAAGGAAGACACCATCCTCACATTCTTCTATTCTGATATCTAGATTGTTGATAAATTGTTATTTTCCATTGTCCAGGTTCATAACACTTAGATTCTTACATTTTCCTAATTCTTCATCTTAAATTTTTGTAATTGTTTGTTTTTGAGTACTGTAAGTAAATTGATTCTGTATCCATCAACTTACTATCAGTTCTTTGATTATGGTATGTCCAGTCATGAGCTCTTTCTCTGGGTCCAGTTTTAAGTGTTCGTATTTCATCATTAAGTGGTTTTTGAAAGATAGTGTTCACTGGATTCTGAATTTCCTGAGTTTTTATGTTTGAGAATGCCTGTCTTTTATGACGATTTGACTGGGTCAAATAGATATTTGGTTCAACTTTTTTTTTTTTGTCTTGCAATTCTTAAAATATTATTCCATTGTCTTCCAGTATTAAATGATGTCAAGAAGTGTGAGACTCATTTGATTTTTTTTTTGCTTTTTAGAAACTTTCCTGTTTTCATCTGGATCCCTGAAAAATTATCTCTTTTCCTATATTTTAGTTTTGCCTTTCTCACTTAGGCCCCTTATCCATCTGTGGTTGATATTTGTGTGCAAGTGAGGGAGGGATCTATTTTCTTTTTTTTCCATGTGGATAATTGTTTGCCTCAAGAACATATATTGATAAGGGCATCCTTTTTTTCCTGCAATGCCAACTGTCATATGTCACATTTCCACTTACGTGTGGATTTGTTTCTGGGCTCTCTGATCTGTCCTGTTGGTCTGTTCCTCTATTATTACCACATTGCTTTTTTACTATATACTTATAAGTCTTTAAATCCAGTAAAGTAAGTCCTTTTACCATATTCGTCGTCAGTAATATCTTGACTTTTTTTCTTTTTGCTCTTTGCTTTATTGTATAAATTTTGTAATTGGTTTAACTAGTTCCTCCAAAATTTGGTAGGGATTTAGTTTGAGATTACATTGTATCTAGAGGTCAGTTTGGGGGAAAATCAATCTTTAGAAAAATTGGGTAATCCTTTTCTTGAACATGGCTTTTTCCATTGATCTTATCATTTAGCAATGCTTATAAATACTGTTCATCAGATTTTTTTGGTGCTTGTTTTATGATCTCATAGATAATCAGTTTTCATATATATTTGACAAGAACATCTATTCCCTGATGTGTATAATATTTCGTAATGTTCATTAGATCAAGCTTGTTAATTATGTTGTCAGATTTTCTTTAGCCTTTTTTTTTTTTTTGTTTTTGTTTTTTGACAGTAGTGTTGGAAACGGAAGTAAAGATTTCTTTTTGTTGCAATTCAGTAGCTTAACCAGGACCTGTCAAGCTATTGAGTGGTTTGCCATTTTCCTGGAATGCAGTTTGTTTTTTCTCAGATTTTTATTTCAGATAAACTTTCTTTTATATTTTTAGATTGGTTGGTCTCCTAGTTTCCCAGGGGTACTGTAACAAGTTATTTCAAACAACGTGGTGGCTTCAAACAGCAGAGATTTATTCTCTTACAGTTCTGGAGGCTGGGAGTCTGAAATGAGGGTTTTGGTGGGGTTAGTTCCTTCTATAAGCTCTGAGGGAGATTCTGCTCCAGGCCACTTTCCTGGCTTCTGGAGGTTGTTGGCAATACTGAGTGCTCCTCAGTTTATAGATGTAGTGCTCCAGTCTCTGCTTTCATCCTCATATGGCCTGGTAGTGACACCAGTCACTGGATTTAGTGCCTATCCTGGTACTGTATGACCTCATTTTAATTTAACTAATTACATCCACAAAGACTCTGTTTCCAAATAAGGCCACATTCTGAGGTTCCAGGTGTATATAAATTTGGGGGGAGGGGAATTAGTTATTCAGTCCAGTACATTTGGTTTCTTTTCTTCAGATACACTATTTTTCCTTATCTAGTTCTGGATTATCTCTCTTGTAATTTTGTGTTAATTTTCTCTAATTGCTCTAAGTTCTTTGCCTTCTTGTCTGTGTTCGCTGTAATCATCTCAATAAAATTTTCTATGTCAGTAATTAAATTTTCAGCAGTCTTCTTACTGTGTTTCAAATACATACATAAGATGAATATACACATGTATGTATAAATAGGTACATTTATTATCATTTAGGTTGTCTCATATAAAAAGTCTAAAAGTTCAGGTTTCGGGGTTTTTTCCCCCCTCATACTTAGTGCTCACTGCCAGTTAAAAACAATAGCAAACAGAACCCCCTGCCTCCATCTCTTTATTCAGTTACTGTTACTGTGTAACAAATTACCCCAAACCTAGTTGCATAAAACAACCATTTTAATTTGCTTACCATGTTGTGGGTAAGGAATTGAGGAGGGTTCAGTGGGGTGGTTTTCCTGACGTCTGAAGGCTCACCTAACTAACTAACTAACTCACTTGATGCTGCCTGTCAGCTGGGAGCTTAGCTGATGAAACCACTTGCTTGTGATCTTGCTAGCATGGTGGCCTCAGGCTGTTTAATAGCAGGCTTCTCTCGGATGCAGAGTCCAAAGAGAACTGCGTAATAGCTTTTTCTGACTCTGCTTTGGAAGTCACACATTGTCATTTTCACTACGTCCTTTTGGTGATAGGAGAATCCTAACACCAGCGCAGATTCAAGGAATTCAAGGAATTAGACTCTACGTCTTGTGACAGTGACGATGTCACATTGTTAAAGGGGTTTTGGGGTGGGAAATTCTGTCGCAGCCATCTTTGGAAAATACCGTCTGCTATAACCTTTAATACAAAGTGTTTTTTTTTTTTTTTAAGATTTATTTGAGAGAGAGCACAAGCAGGAGGGGCAGAGGGAGGGAGAGAGAATCTCAAGCAGACTCCACACTGAGCGACCATGAGATCATGACCTGAGTGGAAACCGAGAGTCAGGTGCTTGACCTGCTGCACCCTCCAGGGACCCCAATATACAAGTTTTTAATGTATAAAGCAAGTAATACTATTGATCCTTCTAACATATCATCCACTTTTTTTTAGTCATCCTTCTAAACTAGTCTAGGTGCCCCTAGACTTCCATTTTTATGTCTTGCTTCATTAGTTGTGAATTCTGTACTTACATACTCATCAGGGTGGCAAGTGTTAGTGCATAAATATATGTTTTCCTTTTCCTTGTTATTTAGTGAGTGAACATTGGTAGAGGAAAGTGAGTTGAAGTAAGGATATTCTCTCAAGATTAATTATATTATAAATTGGACTCCCAGATACTTTTATCATGGTAGTCTATGGGATGTATTGATCCTGGGATATAAAGATAACTTTACAATATTATTTTTACTTACTTTTGTCCTTTTTATTGCTTCCCCAGAAATAATTTGGGCGTATCACTCTGTTTTTACTTTGGCACGTGGCATTGGAATAGTGGTAATGAGAACGAAGAGAATATCTACCCTTTGAAAATGAGTAATTTCTAGGATACCTTTGGGCATAGACAGGAGTTATTAAAAACGTAAATACTTGAGTAGGAAACCCTGTAGTCTTGGATCAAAATGGCGAACGGCCTGCTGTTGCAGCATTAAGCTGGGGGCTGGAGGGTGTTCAGAAATGGTATCACAGTGCTGCAGTTCAAGAAACTAGTGTTAGTGTGAGATGATACAGTATGTGAGAATGATGACGTGAAGGAGGCCATGAGGCTTCCTGAGAACCTGTAACACCACAGAGTGTTTCACTCTGAGAGGGCACGGGATCTGACCAGGAGGAAACAGATTTTGCCTAATGAGCAGTGGACGCAGTATGAGGAGGGTAAATTCTACCTTGAACCCCATCCGAAAGAAGTTCTTTGGGAAACAGAACAGAGAGAAGAATGCGCAAGGAGAAATCATGGAGTGGAAATCTGTGGTTGCAGCTGCCCTCAGATATTTTTAAGAAGTTAGTAAACCTGAAATGTGCTGTTGATAACTATTTGAGCTACAAATCTATTAATTTAAATAAACGTCTGTTGTAATTTAAAAAAACCCCAAAACATAAATGCTTATTTTATTAGAACTACAGATGCTTTTCTAGCTCAGATATATATCTTATGGAGAAATGCAGGAAGTGTTCCTGAGAGATGGCTATGAAAAATCAATGTAATTAAGCCTGTGATTTTAATTCCTTATAACTAAGTGGTTATTCTTCTAATGCTGCATTTGAACTGTGCTTGGACTGTTGGCTTCTAGGCTTATCTGGAGCAGGAAAGACCACAGTGAGCATGGCCTTAGAGGAGTACTTGGTGTGCCATGGCATCCCATGCTACACTTTGGATGGTGACAACATTCGTCAGGGTCTCAATAAGAATCTGGGCTTCAGTCCTGAAGACAGAGAGGAGAACGTTAGACGCATCGCAGAAGTTGCTAAGCTGTTTGCAGATGCTGGCTTAGTATGCATCACGAGTTTTATATCACCTTATACTCAGGTATGTGGCCTTTGTGCTGTTGCTGTTCTCATGTCGTTGATTGAGAATATGCTGTCACAGAGAACAAACTGTTTAAACATAGGCGTGTGCTTTGAAGCTAAATTCAGATTAAAATAATTAACCTACAGCATTTCTGTGCTGTGACTTCTGAGTAAATTCAGTTTTGGTAAAACCTGCTATGAGCCCCCCCACTCCCCCAAGTGTAACCAAACTTGACCTCAAGCCAGTGGCCAAATTATTTCAAGCTTGTCTTTTCAATTCAGTAAACATACAGTAAATACTCAGCATGTGTCAGATACCAGGGAGAGTTTTCAGGCTCTTCTTTCCTTATACTCTTCCTTTTATTTTAGCACCAATTCACTATTTTTTAATTTTTTTTTTTATTTTTTGTATTTCTCTTAAAAAATTGTATTCTTACTGTGCGAGTTTTGTTTCCCTGCCTGGAAGATGCTCTTCTGCTTCTGCCGATCTTTCTTTTCTCCATATCAGTCCACTCCTGTTTGTGCTTTGAGAGTCAAGTTAGGTGTCTCTTCCTCCTGAGTACCTTCTCTTGGTCCTTTGGGCTTACCTGTCTTTGGTGCCCTTATTATTGTGCTGTAGTGCATTGTTCTGTTACAAATACCAGGTCACTGGTCGGTGGTGCTAATAGCAGCAGCTGTAATAGTAGTTGTAGTAATAAAAATCATAACAGTTAACATTTATTGAATACCAACTAGATACTATGAATTAATCGATTTAGTGCTCATCAGCCAATGGAGAAGGCAGATATGGGGTGCTTGGGTGGCTCAATCAGTTAAGTGTGTGACTCTTGGTTTTGTCTGAGGTCAGTCCTAAGATTGAGCCCCACGTCAGGCTCTGCACTCAGTGTGGAGTCTGCTTGAGAGTCTCTTCTCCCTCCGCATCTGCCCCTCCCCCTGTTCACTCACCCTGTCTCTCAAATAAATAAATACAATCTTAAAAAAAAGAAAAAAGGCAGCAGTGAGGAGACAGGTGTAAATTACCCAGGGTCACATATTGTACATGGTACAGCAAGGATTTGCACCCAGACAGTGTCGCTGGAATCCATGCTCTCTCCCACCATGCCTTGTTACCTCTAAAACCCACTGGCTGCTTGAAGTCTGAAACACATCTTATTTATCTTTGTAATCTTGATGTCAAGTCCGGCTCCTGGAACAGAGTAGATACTTAATGTTTATTAAATGACAGCATAGCTCAGATGTGAAAGAACAGGTGAATTACTATGTGGCTAAAGGCTTTGGGGCCAGAAACAGTGGACTGGAATTCAGCTCTGCCGGTTACCGTTATGACCTTGGCCAGTTGACTTGACCTTCATAAGCTCAGATAATGCCTACTTCATAGGGTTGCTCTGAGGATTAGGGAAGTCATGCATCCAGAGCTCTCAGCACAGTGTGTGGTGCGTAGTAAGTATTCAGTAAATATAACAAATAATAGCACAGTTCTAGTGCTGTATTGTGAATTTGCATGGCTACTTGGACTTTTTTTTTAAAAAGCAACACTAAAATATGAGCTATTAGAGTTATAGGGAAGTACCAGATGGAGTGTTAATTACAAGATTCACTTGATTGAACCATGGCAGGAATCCTAAAAGGTCCTGTGAGGACTACTTTTCATTTTCCTGAAACATTGGAAACAATGTCAGTGTATCATTTTTAAAGGATACCAGGTTATGAAGTATATAAAAGAATGATAATTGTTTGAGTTCTTGCTTCCTTGGATATGCACAGTTTTCAGAGTAATATAGTAACTGATACTCTTGTACTTTTGGGAATTTGTGCAGCTCTTGGAAGAGGAGAGGGTAACACAGGATTTGGAGAGCTGTCAGCTGGGTCTCTAAAAGTGTATGCTGATCTGCTTTTTGGCCTTCTTGTCTCCATAGTATGGAGCAGAATTTGTTGATCTCATCTCTAAAAGCACTAACAGTGAGGTTTGGACTCTACTTAGGATGTGTCAAAATCTGTAATATTTATTTCAGACCATATAATATAGCATATGTGTATTATTCCATGTCACCATTGAACTTGAGGATCTTGGTTCTAAAAATAAGTCTGGTGGTTCCTAGCTGGTCTGGTGGGAGCCTAGAGATGGGAACAGTTGCAGTGTGTTGCAGCAGGAGATGAGGTCGATGTCTGTGGAAGGTCCTGTGGAAGAATCACCGAGGAGGTGCCACTTGAAATGAATCCTGGAGGAATCAGAGCATACCAGTGAGATGGGAGGGAGAACGCTGCTCTGGCAGAAGAGACAGTGCAGGTTGGAAATGTCAGGGAGTTTGGTCTTTTGGGGAACTGTAGGTAGTTTGTTATGACTGCTGTGCAGGATGAATGTGAGGGGAGATGAAGCTAGAGTGGTTTGCAGAGGTCCAATGATGAACCTTCACTGCTCAGAATTTTGCCACCCAGGGGACTGAACAGTTTGAGATTGTTCTAGTGAATGCTGTCACTGGGCTTGCATTTTAGTAAAGTCCCCTTTGAAGCCTGGAATAAGCGTGGCCTGGAGATAGGAGACCAGTGAGGAGGCTTTTGGAGTAAATTCAAGCAGCAATAATGGGAATGGAAAAGATGGGGCATTTTGAGGGCTCTTGAGCCCATAGCATCAGAAGGACTTGGTGCCTGGCTGATTGCTGAGTTTGGGGTGAACATGAAGGCTGGTTCTTTCTGAATAGAAGGTGGAATGATTGAGGTGGAAAATACAGGATGGGGAGGGAGGAGATGATGATTTTATTCTAGGTGGGTTAGGTTTGAAATTCTAGTGGTGTATCTAAGTGGGCCATTGGAAAATTGGTCTTGGAGCTCAGGAAAGCTGTGTAGAATTGAGAAAGATTTAGGAATCATTAACTTTGTTCATTGAAACCTAGTTGAAATTAAGTATAGTGTAGTTATATAGAATGAGAAGAGAGCCATGGCTAGAAACTTGGAAACACCTTCATTTAAAAGGACAGTTGGAATCAGTTAAGGTCACAACTTAATCATTCTGCTACATGCTGTGGTTGTAAATCTAATGAAGATTTAACCAATATATCAGAATAAGATCTATGACGGGTATATAGTGGGTACTCCGAGAAGCCAGAGGAAGCAAGGGCCCTCGGTCATTCTGGGCATGTGGGGTGAGCTTCCTGGAGGAATTCACTACAGAGCGGCGCTGTGAGGAGCACATTGCTTTAGGCAAAAGAGAGCAGTGGAGGGTTTCTGGCAGGGCAGATGGCTAAGGCATAAGGCCCAAACAACCTGGTAGACCAGACAGGTATTAATTATTAATAGAACATTAAGTGCAAGACTGAGAATGGTGGGGCCACATATAGAAGGCCTGATGCCTGGGGTGCCTGTGTGGCTCAGTTGTTAAGCATCTGCCTTTGGCTCAGGTTGTGATCCCAGGGTCCTGGGATCGAGCCCTATGTTGGGTTCCCTGCTCCAGGGGAAGCCTGCTTCTCCCTCTTCTACTCCCCTTGCTTGTGTTCCTGCTTTTGCTCTCTCTCTCTCTCTGTCAAATGGATAAATAAAATCTTCAAAAAAAAAAAAAAAGGCCTGATCCCTCCCACTAAGAAATTTGGGTTTTACCCTTTTGGTCATGGGGAATCTCTGAAAAGTTAGTGACATGCTTGGGGACAGTGTTAAGAGTATGGCTTTGAGTAGAGCAAAGCTAGAAGCCAGCATGCTTTTTTTTTTTTTTTAAAGTTTTTATTTATTTATTTGACAGAGAGAGAGAGAGTGATCACAAGTAGGCAGAGAGGCAGGCAGAGAGAGGGGGGGAGGCAGGCTCCCTGCTTAGCAGAGATCGCGATGTAGGGCTCGATCCCAGGACCCTGAGATCATGACCTGAGCTGAAGGCAGAGGCTTAACCCACTGAGCCACCCAGGTGCCCCAGCCAGCACGCTTTTAAAAGGGTGTAGCAGTTGACCAGTTGAGGAATGAGGTTGAGCTAGGGAGTAGGGAAGAAATGCAAACTGGGTTGGTCTAATAATTAGAGGCAAAATTTGAAGGACTTTGTGACAGAATGCATAGGGGGTGGGAGAGTGGGGGGCAAAGGAAGGAACCAGATCAACTCTTTTTTTCTGGATGAATAGTGTTGCCTTCCTTGATTTGGGCAGTATAGGCAGGATTCCAGCTTGGGGGAGAAAGAGAATGAGCTCTGTTATGGACATGCTAAGTTTGAGGTGGCTGTGGGATGTCCAGGTGGGTGTATTTAGGAGGAGGTTGGAACTGTGTGTTTAATTTCGGGAGAGAGGGCAGGGCTCAGACTTAAGAGTTGGTGTTTATGTTGTAGTTGACATTGTGAGGTCTGCTGAGAAAAGTGCTCAAGGACTTAATGTGAGCAGTGGGCTCCTGATGGACTGTGGGCAACAGCTGTGTTGAAGAGATGGGATAAGTAGGAAGAGCCCGGGGAGCCTGCATTAGGAATGATCAGGGGGTAGCATCATGGCCATACACAGGGTTAGTAATGTGGAATGCAGCAGAAAGTCCTGTCATTTAAAGGCTGAAGAGTACGCATGATTAAGGGATTTTGTGTAATTTGTTAGTTCACTTGTTTATCTTTCTTTTCTTTTTTTTAAGATTTTATTTATTTGAGTGTGTGTGCACACAAGAAGGGGGTGGGTCCGACGGGGAAGCAGAGTCCCTGCTGAGCAGGGAGCCCTATGCTGGGCTGGGTCCTGGGAAACCTGGATCATGACCTGAGCCAAAGGCAGACGCTTAAGCAACTCACACAGGTGCCCAGTTCATTTGTTTTTTTGTGGATGAGTGACATGTTTATTGCCACCAGGAAAAAGCTGGCAGAGAGGGCAGAGGCTGAAGATTTCAAATGGAGTAGGGATAATGGGTTGAGCAGGATCTGCTCGAGGGACGAGACTCTGGAATCTGAAGGGAGGAGTGGCAGGAGTGAGCGAGACAAAGGTAGCTGGGCAAATAGACACCTTACGTGGCGGAGAAGAGAGAGAGCATTTGTGCCTGTGGATTTTCTTGTTGAAATAAGGAAGAGAAGAGTGGTGACAGTGGAAGTAGGTACAGTTTGTCAGAGGGACCATAAGAACTAAATGCTAAAGTGAGCTGGGGGGCGTCAAATGATGGGAATGGTGGGGGCTGACTTTGGAAACATTGGCCCTGCTTGTGTACAGAGTATGAAGGTGAGAAAATCAGTGGATCTCTGGAGGGGGGGTACTTGGTTTTAGCTAAGACCAGAAGGAAGAGGTTGACTTAAAAAGGTCACTATACCAGAGGACAGGGCAGAACAATGATGGTGATCACCAGAGAGTTAGGGGTTTAGGGGTAGGGTAGAAAAGTAAAGTTTTGGGAATGCTCAAGACAAGAAGTGGCCACAGGAGTTAACGTTTGGCAAGTGGATAAACCCCCTTCAGGGTTCTGAGTGGACTTCTTGGGAAGTGAAGTTGCTTTCAAGTCAGCTCAGGCTGAGGTTGAACGTGTTACTAGAGAGATGCCTGATGACCTCTGCATTTGAGCTGGGCTTTGGCTTTGGTTCCTCATAAAACTTGGTGAAGTTTTTTATGGGACATCTATTGTTTTCCCTTCTGAACTTCCCAATATCTTGGATTTTTAGAATAGTATACCCCTTAAAATTGTTATAAAGAAAGGGTATATTAACCTAAGAATTTCCTGGATTTTTATATATATATATATATATAAAGATTTTATTTATTTACTTAGAGCACAGTGAGGGGGAAGGGCAGAAACAGAGAGAATGAGAAACAGACTCCACTGAGCAGGGAGCCTGATTTGACCCCAGGACCGTGACCTGAGCAGAAGGCAGACACTTAACCGACTGAGCCACCTAGGTGCCCTACATATATATATATACATATATATATATATTTAGATTTTATTTATTTATTTGAGAGAGAGCACCTCTCTCTGTTTATTTGAGAGTGTGTGCCCTAGTGGAGGAAGGGGCAGAGGGAGAGAGAGAATCCTTAAGCAGACTTCCTGCTGAGCATGGAATGCGATGCGAGGCTAGATCCCAGGACCCTGAGATCATGACCAGAGTCAAAGTCGGAGGCTTAACTGACTGAACCCCCAGGTGCCCCTCAGTTTATACTTTAAAATATAAATTGTTCTGTTTAGTATTTGTTTTCCACTGATTCAGCCATATGTCTTCTTTCTAAGGATCGCAACAATGCAAGGCAAATTCATGAGGGTGCAAGTTTACCTTTTTTTGAAGTATTTGTTGATGCCCCTCTGCACGTTTGTGAACAGAGGGATGTCAAAGGACTCTACAAAAAAGCACGGGCTGGAGAAATTAAAGGTAAGTACTATTTTTTTTTCTAGTTTCTCTTTGCTTACTTTTTTTTTTTTAAGGTTTTATTTTTTTAAGTAATCTCTGTACCCAATGTGGGTCTTGAACTTGATCCCAAAATCAAGGTGTGTGTGCTGTACTGACTGAGCCAGCCATGCGTCCCTTTGCTTGCATATTTTATCCCACCGTATCTGCGACTGATCATCTTTACTGAGAAAGAGACTGGGAGTATTCAAACAACTTGGAGCTCTTTGAGAAGAAAAAGTGGGTCTTGCTCCACTCTTGTGTCTCTGAGACCTACCAGTACTACCTGACACTGTGTGTACTCAGGGGTATTGTTGATTAGATTGGAATCTTGCTCACAAGACAGAGTTTTAGAAGGTTGGGACCTCAGGGACTGCTAGAAACCTGCTTGATATAATTAGTGCCTAGCATTAGACTGGATATCAGTGGCTAGCTGCTGTCCATTCTGCTTTTTGTTCCAGTGAAAATGAAGGAAATTCCATAGCTAATGGGAAGGATGCTTGAATTATAAACATCTTGAGAGCAAAGACAGTGTCTTGTTCTTATTTACATCATGGTGCTTGGAATAGTCCCTTATTCATCCTGTGTACAATTGTTGAATTAGGGTGAATCAATATACTGCTGATTCCATCAAAATAGAGATACCTTGCTTTTTAGGTTTTATGATTTGCTTCTAGAGTTTCAACTGTGGCGAACATTTGTACATAAGAGACATTAAGAACCTGTCTGCTCTGGCCTTTGATACCGATCATATTAATCTTCTAGACATTCTTGGACATTAGTTATGTTCTGCTGTTAACAGAAGACATGCCAGTATTAAAAAAAATCAAGCATCAATTCCTCAGTCAGCACTGTGCAGGGATCAGTGATTCATGCAGGTAACTTTGATGCCTTCCCAATCTGGGGTATGATAGCCTGGGGCAATCACAGGAGCTCCTTTGGGTTCTGTGAATTTGGTATTTTGTCACTCAGCTTCTGGCATTGCCTAGGAGAAGGTGGAACAGGAAGGACAATTCTTGTTATTCTGGGCTGTTCTGTATTTGGACCTGGGGACACGTTAGCGGCTGGGGCAAGTGCCACCTGTTGTGGTGAAATCTGGTTCCTTAGAGGAGGCTGACATCTAATTGTGCCACCGTGGAGACTCAGTTTCACCCACTAAGCCTGCTCTTTCTTGGTTCAGCGGGTTGCCTAACCTGAATAATTGACATCATTGGGAGGGGAACCATTTCAGCTCTTTTTATCATCGGTACCAACCTCTTGTTTGTCAGTGGCCAGCTTTCACTTCAGTTTTTCCCCATAGAGATTTGGCAGAGAGAAGCAAAGTGGTATGTCTGGGATCCTGAAGGCTAACTCCTATTTTAATTGTACTTAGTTTTGTTGTTTTGGCAAACGTGGATTGGTGAGGAGGGTAGATTTGTCTCTCTGGCTCTGGAATAAGCTACTGGGAACAGGGTAACATCTTGAATATTTTTCTGTCATTAGAGTTTAGCACAGTGTGAGGCCCAAAGCTTAATACCTGACACACACCTAGTAAATGCTTGTTGGATACGTGAGAAGAGGAAGTGGAAATTGAATGTTCAACACACATTGATCAGTGCTTTCTATTTCTGTGGTATATATTTGGTGCTGGGATGTAAAGATGAATAAGGTCACATGCAAAATACCTTGAGTCATTTATAATTCGTGTTCTCTTTTTGGGAGTGTGTGTATTAGCTTAGTTTTCTCTGTGTTACTTGTTTATTTTCCTAAGTGTTTTTAAATTTTTCTGACTAGGGGCGCCTGGGTGGCTCGGTAGGCTAAGCATCTGGATCTTGGTTTTGTCTCCGGTCCTGATCTCAGGGTCTGGGATCGAGCCAGGTGGCAGGCTCTACTCTCAGTGGGAGTCGGCTAGGGGAGTCTTTCCCTCTCCCACTGCCCCTACCCCTGCTTGTGTGCGTGCATGCACGAGTTCTCGCTCTCAAATAAACGCTTAAAAAAAAAAAAAATCTGAGTAGACATTAATAAAATGTTCTTTAGGTTAATATATATATACATATATATATATATATATATATATATATATATATATATATACACCTGTGTACAAACATTATGTTTGCCATGGTGTTAGAGTTTCTGATTATAGAGTTGTTTGTTTTAAAAAATCGGTTACTCATTGTCAGATAGTGCTTGAAAGTTCCCTGTCAATGCTGTTTCAGAACTGTGGTAGTAAGTGTTTGAGGACAGGAGAGATGGCATACGTTCGCAGACCTCAGGCTTTTAAAAGTCTTTATGTGACATTTACTAAACTGTAAATGTATCCCTGGGTCAGCCATTCTTTTTTTTTTTTTTTAAGATTTTATTTATTTATTTGACAGAGAGAGATCACAAGTAGGCAGAGAGGCAGGCAGAGAGAGAGGGAAGCAGGCTTCTCACAGAGCAGAGAGCCCGATGCGGGGCTCGATCCCAGGACCCTGAGATCATGACCTGAGCCGAAAGCAGGCGCCACTGAGCCACCCAGGCGCCCCCCGGGTCAGCCATTCTAATGCTAGATTATTTTCATGATTACTACTCTAGTAGTTATTATCTACTTAAATATAAATGTTGTTCTTAAGTGTACATTTACTATAATCACTTACAGGATAAATTAGCTAGGCAGGGAATTCCTGGACTTTTAAAATGCTAAGCCAGGTCTTCTAACACAGTGGTTTTCAGGTTTTGCTGCACATTAGCATTACCTGGGGGAATGTTTCAAAATCCGTTCCCGTTCCCGGGGCTCCTGGGTGGCTCAGTAGTTAAGTGTCTGCCTTCAGGTCATGATCCCAGGGTCCTGGGATCCAGCCCCCCATCGGGCTCTCTGCTCAGTGGGAGGCTTGCTTCTCCCTCTCCCACTCCCCATGCTTTTGTCTCTCTTTCACTGTTGAATAAATAAAATCTTATTTATTTATTATTAAAGATTTTATTTATTTATTTGATAGAGATCACAAGTAGGCAGAGAGGCAGGCAGAGAGAGAAAGGGGGAAGCAGGCACCCTGCTGAGCAGAGAGCCTGATGTGGGGCTCGATCCCAGGACCCTGGATCATGACCTGAACCGAAGGCAGAGGCTTTAAGCCACTGAGCTATCCAGGCACCCCAATAAAATCTTAAAAAAAAGAAAAAAAAATCTGTTGCCAAAGCTGTACAAGTGAAATCAGAATGTCACGAGGATGGGACCTGACAATTCCATTGTGTAGCTGCGTTTGAGAATTAGAGCTTAAGAGCTAGTGTTTTAGGTCTGCCTGGGTGGCTCATTCGATTAAGTGCCCAAGTCTTGATTTTGGCTCAGATCATGATCTCAGGGTGGTGAGATCAAGCCTTGCATTGAACTCCATGCTGGGCGCGGAGACTGCTTAAGACTCTATCTCTCCCTCTAACCCCCTCCCCCCGCAACACTCTTTCTACACAGAAAAAAAAAAAACACCCAAAAAACAAAATTAGTGTTTTGTTTTGACCAGAATTATTTTTCCCCAACTATTTTACTGTGACTCTCTTAGGAATATTGGTAATGCAGAAATCTCCTTCTTGGATTCAGGACTTCGTGTGATACTTAGAAATATGAAATAGAAAAAAAATAATGTGGGCCATAGACTTGGAGTATATATTTTAGAACTCTCTTGGTGACTGTTTCTCTTAATAGTAATGATTTTAAATTCATGTTTACCATTGTGCTCCAGGGTTGACCTAAGCCCTCCAAGGCAGACGGGTCTTAAGTGACTTATGCATGAGGTGATATCAAGGGTGTAATATAGGAACAGCGTTATGTTCAGCTCAGCTGGCCCATTCCTGACAAGCATCATGCATTCTTTCTTGACAGTTCCTTGGTAACATGTATTTAAGGGGAAAACCTAAATAGGGGTTAGTATCTAAACTAATTATGTTTCATTATGGGTTCTATTTTGTGATATATCAGGATTCCCATGCTTATTTATGTTTTGCTAAAGCTGGTAGTAGTTCATTTGTCTTTCCTGAAAAGGTAATCCTGGTGGCAGAAGAAGCCTGTAGGGCTTCAGTTTGGCTGTAGGTAACCCCTGTGACTATAATGGGCAGATAGACTCTGGTGTGTCAGTTTTGTATTGAGAGGAAGAAAACCTTGTTGAGTTTGGCTTATGCTTAGAAGGTAAGTACTATATCCTGTATTTCCCTGGGGAAATTGAAAGGCTCTGGATCTCCTGGTACTCATTCCTATTTCTCCGTTGGCATTTCAGGCATTTATTTAGAAAATATGACAGAAGAAGCTTAGTCCGTCCTCATCATTCGGAGAGTCCATATTTGCACGTTTTTCTACTCACTGAAGTTCTTTTTTTTTTTTCTTCTTCTTTTTCTTTTTTCTTTTCAAAGATTTTATTTATTTATTTGGCAGAGAGAGAGAGATCACAAGTAGACAGAGAGGCAGGGGGAAGCAGAGAGCCCAATGCGGGGCTCAATCCCAGGACCCTGAGATCATGACCTGAGCCAAAGGCAGAGGCTTAACCCACTGAGCCACCCAGTGCCCCTACTCGCTGAAGTTTTTTAGCCCCTACGTCAGTACTCAGCGGTGCTTTGGCAGTCACTTGTGGACACATGCAGAGTGGGAAAAGTTGTAGCCACCCCAAGGATGGTGCCCAGCTGAGGCTGAGCAACGTGATGCTCGGCCTTCATGTTTCAGCTTTTGTACCACAAGGAAGGGTCAACAAATTTTGTTATGACTGAGGCTTGCAGGAGCCTAACCCCATGTTTCCCCTAGAAGCTGCGATTACAGATTCACTAATTTAGTGGCTGTGCAACATTATTGAACTGCAAATGAGAATGGACTGTGTGTATTTAAAGGAGAAATGGAAGTTTAATCAGAAATCTTCCCAAGAAAGAAGTTTTAGTACCGTAACCCTAGGACTCCGAAAGGATAGCATAAATACGAACTTTGACACAGCAAAGACTTGGACTGAAGAAATAAGCCTGTCTTAATTTCCACCTGCTTCTCTCATCTGGTCCTTTTGCAGGTTTCACTGGAATCGATTCTGAGTATGAAAAGCCAGAGGCTCCTGAATTGGTGTTGAAGACAGACTCCTGTGATGTGAACGACTGCGTCCAGCAAGTGGTGGAGCTTCTGCAGGAGCGGGTAGGAGAAGGTCAAAGAGGGAGTCCTCAGAAGAAGTGTATTTGTCTTGTGCTCTTCCCCTGCCGAAAGAACAGGTGGTGGTGATAAGGAGTACCATTTGTGTTTCAGGTTCTGGTGGTACTGACAGTTTTCTGAGTGTGTGTCCCTGTGTTAGGTGTCGTGGGGGCACCAGTGCATACAATGCATGAAATATCCTGGTCAGTGTGGAACACAGGCGGCTTGAGAACCAGAGGCTCTTTTTTTTTTTTTTTTTTTTTTTTAAAGATTTTATTTATTTATTTGACAGACAGAGATCACAAGTAGGCAAAGAGGCAGGCAGAGAGAGAGGAAGGGAAGCAGGCTCCCTGCTGAGCGGAGAGCCCGACGCGGGGCTCCATCCCAGGACCCTGGGATCATGACCTGGGCCGAAGGCAGAGGCTTTAACCCACTGAGCCACCCAGGTGCCCCCCAGAGGCTCTTTTATTTATTCTAGCAGTAACTGTACCACACAGATACCTGCACATTCAGCCGTGATTATTCAGCTCTGCACCTTGACATTATTGTATTTAAGTTGAGGTACATAATGTAGCCAATTCTCCTCCTCTCTTAGAGAGTGCCTGGATTTTCCTGGTGCAACACAATGATAAGGGTGGTTGAGTTTTAGGAAGGGAAATGTTCCAGAGCATAAAGATCTTTCTCTGGTTCCTGGGCATATGGAAGCGTAAAGATGCTGGCTGTTTTCCCAAGCACTTAGGCCCTCCAGGACGTCCATGATTCTCTCAGGGTTTAGTCCAGTTTCAGTAGTCCAGTTTCAGTTTTTAGAAACTCTTTCTTTTCTTTCCTGTTCCTATCTTCCCTGGTCCCAACAGAGGGTCACGCAGTTTACTTAGTTGGGGAGGGTCTGGCTTCTGTGTGTCCGTAGTGATCCCCTTCCGTGGTCAGGATGTCCTCACCTTTGCTGCCTAGTGTGGTGCAGGGACTCCTGATGTAGTGGTACGCAGACAGTGATGCATCACTGTGCCCCATTTTGTCCTCTGTGGCCTATGGCATCTGAACCCCCTTGATTTTTATAGTCCCTTTACCATAAACCTCTTTTGTGTAGTATCTCTTACTGGGTATATCAGACATACAACTTAAAAAAATTATCTACGTCTGAGTGTATTAAAATGTCTAGCCTTAGAATTTTTTTCATGTTGTAAAATTCTGCCAGATAATTAACCTGGGACTCACCTTCCTAATGTGAGTCCTCCCTTATCCAAACATTTTAGCTGAATAAGTGAAATGATGCGTCACAGCACTGCTTTGATGTGTTCCTTTGGATGTGCTGCTGTGCTGTCTGCAGGTTCATGAGGCCCCATCCTGGGAGGTTTTATGCTTGTCTTTTTGCCATCTGGGTTTCCTGTTACCCAGCTTCTGGGCTCTGGAGCTTCTCGATCTTGCTGCTGTGCCTGTGGCTTCCCTCTATTCATTATCCATTCTTTCAGCATCAGCAGTCAGATGTCTGCTGTAGTTCGTCATAGTCCTAGGCACTGGTAGTACAAAGATTAACCAGGTGTGTCTCTGTTCTGTAGGGTTTACATTGTAGGTGATGGAAATAGGAATAAGAGCATACAGCTGCTAGAAGTTGTGTTAGAAACATGGTTTCAAGGGCTCCTGGGTGGCTCAGTCAGTTAAGTGTCTGCCTTTGGCTCAGGTCATGATCCTGGGATCGAGCCCCACATTGAGCTCTCAGCTCAGCGGGGAGCCTGCTTCTTCCTCTCCCTCTGCTGCTCCCCCTGCTTGTGCTCTCTCTCTCTCTGTGTCAAATAAATAAAATCTTAAAAAAAGGAAACATGGTTTCAGCATGTACATAGCACTCTGGGATGCACAGAGGAGTGAATTAGAAAGGTTTTATATCCGATCTTTCCCATGTTTGCTCTTTTTTGTTTTTTTAAAGATTTGATTTATTTGAGAGAGAGAGAGCGTGAGTTCAAGCACAGAGAGGAGCAGAGGGAGGGGCACAAGCAGACTCCAAACATGGAGCCCAATGCAAGGCCTGATCCCATGACCCTGAGATCATAACCTGAGCTGAAGTCAAGAGTTGGATCCCCAACTGACTGAGCCACCCAGGCACCCCTTGGTCATTTTAAAAAGATATTTTCACTGGCCATAGTATTCTGGGTTGACAGGTTTTTTTTCTTTTGGTTCTTTAAAGATGGTGCTCCATGGTCCTTTGGTTTGCCATGTTTCTGATGAGAAGTCTGATGCAGTTCTTTTCTTGGCTCCTCTCCCTGTAATGTTTCTTTTTATTTGTGCCTCAATTCAAGATTTTTCTCTTATTCCTTAGTTTTTAGTGATTTTAGTACGTCGTGTCTAGGGTTTGCAGTATTTTTAGTTTATTTTCTTTCAGTTTAGGGTTCTTTGGCTTTTGGTTCTTTTTTTTTTTTTTAAAGATTTTATTTATTTATTTGTCAGAGAGAGAGAGAGAGCGAGCGAGCACAGTCAGACAGAGTGTCAGGCAGAGGCAGAGGGAGAAGCAGGCTCCCCACAGAACAAGGAGCCCGATGCGGGACTCGATCCCAGGACGCTGGGATCATGACCTGAGCTGAAGGCAGCTGCTTAACCAACTGAGCCACCCAGGCGTCCCGGCTTTTGATTCTTTTATCAGTTTTTGAAAACTCTTGGCCATTACCTCTTCAGATATTATCTTTGCCCTATTCTTTCTCCTCCTGGGATTCCAGTTAGATGTTTGTTAGACAATCTAACATTATCCCATGCTTTTAAATGCTCTGTTCTTTCACTCTTTTTTTTCCTCCTAAAGATTTGTTTACCTTCGAGACATAAAGAGAGCGGGGTAGGGGGAAGATGGGGGCAGAAGGAGAGGGACAGAGGAACTGCACCGAGTCTGGAGCCCGGTGTGGGACTCGATCTCATGACCCTGAGATTAGACCTGAGCCAAAACCAAGAGTTAAATGCTCAACTAACTGTGCCACCCAGGTGCCGCTCTCACTCTTTTCATGTTAATTTTTTAGTTTTAATAATTTCTACTCATTTTCAAGCTTAGTCATTCCTCAGTTATATGTAATATATTGATTTGCACTTAAAATCTGTAAACTGATAATCATTACAAATATTGCATTGTTTTTTTAAATAGAGTGTACATCTCTCTATTGAAATTTTCTATTCACACACTGTCTACTTTTGCACTAGATCCTTTAATATAGTAATTATAAAGTCCTACCTGGTAGTTCCAGCCACTGGGTCATTTCTGGATCCTGCTATATCTCTTATTGCTGGCTTTTCTTGTTCTTTTTGGCATATCGTAATTTTTTATTGAATGCTTGACATTGTGTGTGGAAGCATAGTAGAGATTGAGGGAAATAGTGTCTGTGTTCTGGGCGTTTATGTTCTTTTTCTGTCACACTGCATAGTGTGTATATAGTATAGTATATTGAGTTAATTTAGTTAGTAGCTTAGATGGATTTGGGTTTCTTTATTCTGTAGTTATTCATAATGCACTACCAGCTTTAAATTTCTCCAGCGGTAGACTATCCTACCTTGTGCCTAGTCTGGGATCTGGCCTCCTACAGGGTCTTTCTTAGTGTTTCTGCTCCACTTTGAGCTTTCAACATTCCCTGGATGCCTGCATCTCAGAAGGGGTCTCCCTACATGCTGTCACTCCTTTCTCAGTGGAAAGAGAGTTACGCTATTGCTCAGAACTCAGTGCTAGGCTCATGATGGGGGAGCAGTGGTGGTTCTCGAGTCTGCTGATCCAGCCCCACTCTTTTTTTTTTTTTTTTAAAGATTTTATTTATTTATTTGACAGAGAGAGATCACAAGTAGAGAGGCAGGCAGAGAGAGAGGGGGAAGCAGGCTCCCCGCTGAGCAGAGAGAACCCGATGCGGGGCTCGATCCCAGGACCCCAAGATCATGACCTGAGCCGAAGGCAGAGGCTTTAACCCACTGAGCCACCCAGGAGCCCCCCAGCCCCACTCTTAAGCAGGATCTATACTCCGGGGTCTTAGATGGGTATTTGTCAGTGTCGTTTCCTCTTCCTGCATGGTGGCCAACCTCTGCTTTGAGCCTGGGAGGTCTTAGTCCCATGCATTAGCAGATTGCTGGTTTGTATCAATTCAGGATATCCTGGGCCAGGAGAGTTTCCTCCACATCCCTTTAGCTGGCCATTTTTACCTCTACTCCTCTTGCAGAAACAGTGGACCCTGGGAGGGTTTCCCTCTCTTCCCTATCAGCTGCAGGCCTTTGTGTGGTATGAGACAGTGATCCGTGGAGTGTGGACAGAATTTTGTGCCTGCGTGCCACCAAGGGGAGCTCTCTAGTTGGGAGACCTTCTAATCTTTCTTCCAAGCATGCTGGTAGACCTGCTTGTGAGTGTAGAACTCCTGGTGTCTGTGGTTCCCAGGTATGCAAACCTATCACTAGTCCTCACTCGGCCTTGAAGAATGCTAACAACAGTTAGCTGCTTTTTTCTTTCCTGCTGTTATTGCGGCCACCTCTTCCTCCCGTGTGCTCCTGAGGGGCATGTTTATGGGTCTTGTCTTTTTTTGCTGGGACTTGTCACTCTTTGGAGGCAGTTCTAGGCACTGTGTTAGGGCCTCAGCTCTGTGATGGGCTCAGGAATGTGTACAATTTCATATATTAGCTGGCCTTTCCTCTTGTTACGTGATGTTCTATTCTGGAATCTCTGTTTAATTTTCAGCAAACCGTCTGTTCTTGCTCTGCTTTTATCCTTCTGGGGTTGTCTATGTTTCCAGTATTTTTCCTTTTTATTTGGATTGTAATTTGTTTGCATATTTTGTACATTGAGCCTATCTTTTTTTTTTTTTAAACTGGAGATTTATTAATGTTAGGAAGCTATACAGAGTTTTATTTTCTGTTAGTTTGAGTTATCTAGTTTTCATATCCAATTAGTGGTTTTTAAGTGTTTTATAGAACCTCAGGAAAGTACACAGATACTCTTATATATAGTGTAGGGGCTCAGGAATCTCTGAAGCTAGATCATTTCAGGTAGCACAGGCACTTCT